CTTGTGCCTTCCTTTTTCTGTTCATCATCTGTAAAATTCAGAGTAAATCTGAAACATATTGACAATGTTACAGAAAAACTGTTACAAATAAAGCATACATCAGCTTTATTTTCCTGCATAAAGTTAGCATATCTTCAAAGACTATTTAAATAGCTTTAACTTGTGAGCCTCTATTTAAAGAAATAACTCAAAGCAAACATTAGCTTAATAGCTTCACAAATACTAACGCTGGAGAATGAGCCAGAGGACTAAACCAGAATTTAGTTTCAAACCAAAACAACTAACTAGTTTCATAAATCTTACCTGGACAATTTGCAGTTTTTTTTTCATCATCTAAGTCAGCTTTCACGGTTCTCTCCTCGTCGTATCTGTCAGCACACCGATTGTGGTGCTACTGCAGTCTCCGCAGTATCGAGGCATGCATTTAATGCAACATTAGCTGAAGGTGAGGATCAAGTTCCAGGTGTTATAAATATTGCTTGATTCCCGCCACCTTCTAAGCTGCCCTGTCTGCACCCTTTTAAAGATACAGGCAGTATTGCATGAATTCAGCTTAAGCAGTATTTAAACAGAGCATGATACTTTTAGAGCACAAGCTGGCACACATTTTTCTGACTTTACTCTCGGTATGTGGACATCTTCTGAAACTTAGACAGATTATTCTTTAGGATGAAAGGAGCCATCCTAGCATTTTCCTTGTGTGGACACACAAGAAGAAATGTCCACACAAGAAAGGTGTTCCGTCAGGGGTTGGTTTGCACAAGTATATAAAGACAAACACACACACACACACACACACACACACAAAATACTGTATAAAACCAGCACCAAATTTTGTTTAGTCACCATAATGTCTGTGAATCCAGAACATGTGTGATCTCTGCTCTGGTTACACTACCGCACTAGTGCGTCACGCTACAGATATATGTATCGCCATTCCCAGACAGAGCATTAGATGATAATATTTTGCTTAAGCTAATAACACAAACAGTTGTTATCTTTTGTGTTTTTATTGAACACCCATCAAATATTCACAGTACTGGTGGAAAAACCCTTCGATTTAATAACCAATGAACCTCCTTTGGTAGCAATAACCTTAAATGTTTTCTGTATCAGACTTGCACAATGTTCAGGAGGAATGTTGAACCATTCTTCCTCACAGAGCTTCTTTGGCTCAGCCATATTCTTAGGGCACATAGTGTGAATTGCTGTCTGATATCGTTCTGTGTCATCTTTATTGAGAAAGATCTGGGCTATGACTGGGCCACAAAAGGTGGTTTTTATGAGTTTGAATTCATTCTGTAGCAGATTTCATTTGATATTTAGTGTCAATAGCACATCCTCTACTGTACAGTCAAAGAACCCGCTGAAATAGATGATCATGTAAATGCACACCCACATACAAAATTCTTCATAACTACATACATGTACAGATGCCTTTACACTACAGAGATCTATCCTCTGCAAATAATCTAGAATTAGGAGAACACAACGAAGACGGGAGACAAAAGGTGAGGAGACAGGTGAGAACAACAGATGAGATGCTGATGGAGGGGAAGAGACACTGGAGGAATCAGAGAAAATGAAGAAGAGCCCAGAGCTGTCAATCATTCTCTTGTACCAGAGCCTTGCAGTCCTTTTCCTCCTGGGAAAAAAATCCATTGTTTTGGTAACCAAGTATTAACTCAATTTGTAAAATAGTCTATGGCAATATAAACTGTCAGGAAAAATTTAAATATGCATGTTACTTCCAAAAATGAAAATGGAATAAAAAAATGAAACTCCTGGACAGTGTCATGCAATCAATAACTGAGTGGAGTAAGGACAGTGACCTGCTCCTTAACACCTCAATGACAGAGGAGATGATCATTAACCTCAAGAGAACAAAGGAGAAAGACCACCCCAACTCCACCAACGGCCCATGGACAAGAGGGTCTGTGCCCCAGCCTGGCCACCCCAGCCAAAATTTCTATATCCACCCCTGACTGGACCATCAAAACCTCACCCTCTTCTTCAGGAAGCTGAAACAGGCCCAGCTTCCACAGAAACAAATGCTGAATTTCTACAGCAGCAACACCAAGAGCATCCTGAAACAATGTCACTGTGTGGTATATGCGAACTGCACAGCTGCTAAGTGGCCCAGCACATTGGAGCTCCTAAAACTGGACACAATCTATGCCAGACTGAAGAAGAATGCAAGCAGCATAATCAGGGACACCACAACTGTAAAGCAGATGGTTCAGGACAATAAAAAGCAGCATCAGTAGACTGAGGTACGGCTGCTTGCCCAAAGCTTTGGCCTAAATCATACATTCATTCAGCTTCAAAACATGTATTAGAACCGAGTTATCAACAACAAAACTGAAGTATCAGTCTGAAAAAAAATTATATTGTGATATGACTGATGTTCTGGTCACTGAGTGGCTTCTAACGGTTTGTGATTTGCCACAATCCTCTTCTCATATCTTTCAGTAGCTCTCATTTTGTGGGAACCTCACAAAAACATGTCAATCACCTGCTCTAGGATAAACCGCACAATGTCCATGTATTTGTAAAATTCTATAAACACAATTTAATATTTTTCTCTTTTCAAGACATCACTTTCATATTACAGTAAAGACATGAAAGGTGGAGGAAAAAGATGAGGAAAAGAAAAAGTGATGAAAAAAGTCAAAAACATGGAGATTGATAAGGAGGCGAGGAAGAGTTTATTCATCTTTTTTAATCTGAAAACCTAATTCTGTTCATCTGCTCTCCTCTTTCACTTTTTTTGACCAATGACCAAAATTTATCAGGTTTAAGAGCAGAAAAAATAACTCCCACGGAGTTAATAAAAGACATTCATGGACTAAATACAGCCACTCTAATTATTTACTGCAATTTAAATAAGCTAAAAATTTAAATAAACTGGTTGGCTGTAAATATCATTTGCTTTACAGTGTTGTTTAAATAGTACAGTTTCGTTAGTTAAAAAAAGGGGGGCGGGGGGGGGGGGCAGGAACCCCAGTTAAACGCACTTTACCCACGTTTTCAGGATGGCATCAATCCCAAAACCTAAAATCTATATATACATACAACAGAAAGGCAAGACAAATCCGATATCATGTAGGAAAAAACTTAATTTACGCTTATTTCGTTTCTTTTACTGGTTGGATCACAACCTCCTGTCAATTCATTAACACTAACCGCATTAACGGTATGCTCAAGCCTATGTTGTACGCTTACATTAAAAACAATCATTATTTAGCCTTTCACTTACCATTGAAGCTCCAGATAGGCTGAAGCCCTCCACCTCCGTTAATGTCGTTACTCATGTTGCATGGCGGTGCACCAACAACAGTCAACCTGAGACCTCGCTCCCTTTCGTCTGCTTTCTCCCAAGTTTTCCGCCAGCAGTCGCACCAAAAATTCCTTCCGTAGCTCGTGTACAATTTTAGAATATTTCGTTATTTTTCCCCCTCTTTTACTCTTCCGGAGGATAACAGTTCACCGTGCAGGTGGTCCTTCTGTGATGCTGTATCTTTCTGCTGATATTAACCAATGTGTATGTGACAGTTTTCACTCTGCGTGGGGGCGGGGGAAGCGCTGTGTCAATCATTCGGGGTGTCATACAAATCTACACACGCACAAAAATTAAACCAAGCGATTCCTTAGAAATGACTCACGGTCAGTTATAAATCTGGCTGTTCCACTTCCACACACATGGTTTCTCACGCACCAGAAAGCTTGCCTTTCAGTCCGAGCAAGCACGCGACAGGAAAAAGAGAGAGAGGAAAAAGGGAGAGATTTATGATGTCATTTTTCTCAACCAATCCTTCACTGAATCTCCAATTTAAAAAAACTTCTAAACTTCATACTTTTGAAATATTTAGCTTTATTTTGAAAATCTTGCCCCATTCAAATGAATGGGAAAATTCAACTTCAGCATATTTTCAGCTATCAGAATGTTCACCTGCTCAAGGACATTCATGTTTGTCTTAAGAATTTTTCCAAACCTTATACCTTTGAAATATTTAGCTTTATTTTGATAGTTTTGCCCCATTCCAATGAATGGAAATATTCTACTTCAGCATACTTTCAGCTATTTCAGGTATCAAAATGTTCAGCTCCTCAAGGACATTCATGCTTCTATTCAGAAGTTTTATAAACTTCATATTTTTGAAATATTTAGCTTTATTTTGAAAAATTTGCCCCATTCAAATGAATGGGAAAATTCAACTAGTTCAGCATACTTTCAGGTATTTCAGGTATCAAAGTGTAGAGCTCTTCAAGGAAATTCATGCTACTATTCAGAATTTTTCTAAACTTCATACTTGTGAAAAATTTTGCTTTATTTTGAAAGTTTGGCCCCCATTCAAATGAGTGGAAACATTCAACTGTAGCATACTTTCAGCTATTTCAGGTATCAAAATGTTAAACTCTTCAAGGACTTTCATGCTTCCATTCAGAATCTTTCTAAACTTCACACTTTTGAAATATTTAGCTTTATTTTGAAAATCTTGACCCATTCAAATGAATGTAAAACAAATTCTCTAATGAAATGTCTTTGCAGCTGAATTAAATATGAAAGTAAATATTGAATTCTTCTGAATACAGAGTAAGAAAATAACCATTTTAATCAATGACCAATGATTTTAACCAGTGAACTAATCTCGCCCCATTCAAATGAATGGAAACATTTACTTCTGCATACTGTCAGCTATTAAAATGTTCAGCTCTTCAAGGAAAGTCATGCTTCTATTCAGAACTTTTGTAAACTTCATACTTTTGAAATATTTAGTTTTATTTTGAAAATCTTGCCCCATTCAAATGAATGGCAAAATTCAACTTCAGCAAAATTTCAGCCATTTCAGCTGTTAAAATGTTCAGCTCTTAAAGGACATTCATGCTTCTATTTAGAACTTTTGTAAACTTCATATTTTTAAAATATTTAGCTTTATTTTGAAAATCTTGCCCCATTCAAATGAATGGGAAAATTCAACTTCAGCATAATTTCAGCTATCAAAATGTTCAGCTCTTCAGGGACATTCATACTACTATTCAGACATTTTCTAAACTTCATACTTTTGAAATATTTAGTTTTATTTTGAAAATCTTGCCCCATTCAAATGAAGGGAAAATTAAACTTCAGCATAATTTCAGCCATTTCAGCTGTTAAAATGTTCAGCTCTTCAAGGACAGTCATGCTTTTATTCAAATCTTTTGTAAACTTCATATTTTTAAAATATTTAGCTTTAGCTATTTTGAAAATCTTGCCCCATTCAAATGAGTGGAAACATTCAACTGTAGCATACTTTCAGCTATTTCAGGTATCAAAATGTTAAACTCTTCAAGGACTTTCATGCTTCCATTCAGAATCTTTCTAAACTTCACACTTTTGAAATATTTAGCTTTATTTTGAAAATCTTGACCCATTCAAATGAATGGGACCCCTCAGCATCCATACGCATTTTCTTCAGAAAATGCAAATTTCTAGTTCTTATTATTGTATGGATGCTGACAAGCATCCATACTATGTTATTCTATTCTTTATTAGTCTGGATGCGAGCATCCACACTCTTGTTATCTTCTTCTTCATTATTCAGGGTTCCGCTGCTGTTCTTTGGCACCTAACTCCTTCAGCATACTTTCACCTAGAAGGGCCATTGAGGTATCAAACTGTTCATCTTATTAAGGACATGTGTGCTTGTATACAACATTTTTATAACTTTTATACTTTTTAAGCTATTCAGCTTTTTTCATCATATTTTTCCCCATTGGAAATGAATGGGGCAAAGTTGGAAGCTTAATATCTCTAGCATACCTTGGGGTAGAAACACCATTTCAACTCGTGAGACGTTCAGCTACCAATGGTGCAAAAATCATCTTGATATCTTTTATGGTTTCTTTATAATCGACATTTATATTTTGTCTATTTGTCCATAGACAATGAATGGGCCAATACTATACCATGCCATTGGCTGCCTGTGTGTCACGTGACTCCCCAGTCTAGCAGCTCTCTCTATGCTTTTCCTCTTCCTCTTGCCGCTTTTGTGCTCATATTATGCCATTCTTAAGCTTTATACACATATAATAGAGGACAATCATAGAGACAATTGTCATGAATTCAGTGTTACTGAGATGGGTGCTTAAGTTGCGCATTCCAGCGGCTACCATCTCACTACTCCATAGACTTGCAGTCTAACCAGTGCTTCAGAAGATCCGCTGAAAGGAAACGTCGAGGTATTTATAAATAGCCACGGTTCCTTCATTTTATTTAATATATTGGCCACAGAAGAGCAACCATCTACCACCTTTCTCGCTCTCTCTTTCTGCTGACGCAGGTGGACATTTAGGAGCGGCTCAGACGCACAGGATTGTGCTTTAATTCACAAACGGCAATTAACAGCATAGTATCCATCAAAACTGCAAATAATATTTTTTCCAAAACTTTGCATCTAAAGATAAAATTTAACATTTTTTATGAAAAGCAATAACATATAAACCTTTTGGACAAACACTCAAACAGGTGTGGTAAATTTAAAACAATGAACAGTTCAGCCAACAAGATTTCGTGTCTGTGTGAAATGAAGGTGATAAAGCAGAAGTCATTGGGTATAGCATAACATCTGTCAAATTTGGTGACTGTGTGCATCAACACCAGCTTGACCCTCGCGAGCTTTCCTCCCTTCATCACGGTCAGAGGCATGATGCAAGCACCTGTTAAGACAATTTACAAATTAACATTAACACACTGATACAAAG